TAAGAGCTATGAAAGCAATCTATAGTCAACGATAGACGCAGCAGTGCACCAAGCAGATGTGCAGCCTTATACAAAACAAGATCTTCCTCATAGAATGTCGTACGAAGTTCTTCACTCAAAAGGCGCGTTTCGTTAGATTGAACGAAGTAAAAAGATAGTTGTATAGAGACCAATAATTCCAGTTTATTCAAAACTAGAAGAAAATCCCCACCAACACCCCCCCCCCACGCCGCCGTTAGTAAACGTGTTCACGTTGTGTGTAACCTAATGAAAACATCATGTCCAGAACGACTCCATATTCATGTGGTGCATGTGCTTTCTGTTTCGCATTTCGCCTTGCGATACAAGAAACCAAAGCCTTGGCTTCGGGACGCCTTCGGGATCTATCAGCCACAATAGTTCGTCCACGTAGAAAACTGAAGGATGAAAGAGCGCACGTTACGATACGGAGTGGAACTTGGCAAACCCAAACGCCTGAATAACAATTCATCGCAATGAAAAATTCGATTAGCCCGAGAGGGCTGGCCCACATAGCGCAATTTTTACGCCTCGTCCTAGTACCACGTAAGTGGGCCTACCCTTGCCCTCCCTCTATGTCTATGGAGACTAAGGCGATAATGATTAGTTGTGCATCGTGTGTATAGGTGTGTATGTATGCGTTCGTAAATGAATCTGCAATTTACAGACTGAAACAGCTCGTTCTAAAGTATTCTCTAGCCTTGATAGTTCACGAACTCCTCGGTTGTGAGTATTTCCCCGACCAGCGCGGAAAGGCAGGAAAAAAAGGACGAGATCGCTTTTTAACCAAAGTTTCCAGTCGACCTAGCCAAATTGGTGTGAGCTATCTAAAACGAATAAGTTGTTCCATGCTAAGCCACTCGTTCAAAAGCGGCACGTACACAGTTGAGCAATGTATACGCTTCAGTGGCTACGATGTGAATACAGCCTTTTCCCAATGGGATGCATTACTAATAATGATACTGAAACCGCTAAACAATCTCATTTACATGTGTCACAAATCGGATAGCAACACGCGGAAGACCTATCTGTTGCATAAGATTGTATTGTATAAGTAACGAAGACAAGGCTGGGACCTTTTTACACAGGCGTCCAATATATGAGTAGTGCGAAGTAATGTACGAGGGAAGGCAAAATCTGCATTTCTACCTTAGTTTTATGAGGTTTTAGCAAGGATTTAGTAGGATAGGATATGCAAAACATGACACCAGTCTGCTTAATGTGTACTGAGTTAACTGGCAAAAATCTGAGGATAAACTTGAAATTATGTTGAATAAAACTATTCTAGTTTTAGACTATATCTCCGGTACAAACGACGCACCGCGTATAGTATATCATAACGATAATAAAAACCAACTGACTGATCATCTATCTGTTTGAGCGTTTTAGTCTATTCCTGATGATTACTCTAATAGGTCACAGACAACTCTTAGAAGGTCTTTAAAAACCTCTACATCTACCGGCAATAGAATGGTTTTTATTATCGTTATGATATACTATACGCGGTGCGTCGTTTGTACCGGAGATATAGTCTAAAACTAGAATAGTTTTATTCAACATAATTTCAAGTTTATCCTCAGATTTTTGCCAGTTAACTCAGTACACATTAAGCAGACTGGTGTCATGTTTTGCATATCCTATCCTACTAAATCCTTGCTAAAACCTCATAAAACTAAGGTAGAAATGCAGATTTTGCCTTCCCTCGTACATTACTTCGCACTACTCATATATTGGACGCCTGTGTAAAAAGGTCCCAGCCTTGTCTTCGTTACTTATACAATACAATCTTATGCAACAGATAGGTCTTCCGCGTGTTGCTATCCGATTTGTGACACATGTAAATGAGATTGTTTAGCGGTTTCAGTATCATTATTAGTAATGCATCCCATTGGGAAAAGGCTGTATTCACATCGTAGCCACTGAAGCGTATACATTGCTCAACTGTGTACGTGCCGCTTTTGAACGAGTGGCTTAGCATGGAACAACTTATTCGTTTTAGATAGCTCACACCAATTTGGCTAGGTCGACTGGAAACTTTGGTTAAAAAGCGATCTCGTCCTTTTTTTCCTGCCTTTCCGCGCTGGTCGGGGAAATACTCACAACCGAGGAGTTCGTGAACTATCAAGGCTAGAGAATACTTTAGAACGAGCTGTTTCAGTCTGTAAATTGCAGATTCATTTACGAACGCATACATACACACCTATACACACGATGCACAACTAATCATTATCGCCTTAGTCTCCATAGACATAGAGGGAGGGCAAGGGTAGGCCCACTTACGTGGTACTAGGACGAGGCGTAAAAATTGCGCTATGTGGGCCAGCCCTCTCGGGCTAATCGAATTTTTCATTGCGATGAATTGTTATTCAGGCGTTTGGGTTTGCCAAGTTCCACTCCGTATCGTAACGTGCGCTCTTTCATCCTTCAGTTTTCTACGTGGACGAACTATTGTGGCTGATAGATCCCGAAGGCGTCCCGAAGCCAAGGCTTTGGTTTCTTGTATCGCAAGGCGAAATGCGAAACAGAAAGCACATGCACCACATGAATATGGAGTCGTTCTGGACATGATGTTTTCATTAGGTTACACACAACGTGAACACGTTTACTAACGGCGGCGTGGGGGGGGGGTGTTGGTGGGGATTTTCTTCTAGTTTTGAATAAACTGGAATTATTGGTCTCTATACAACTATCTTTTTACTTCGTTCAATCTAACGAAACGCGCCTTTTGAGTGAAGAACTTCGTACGACATTCTATGAGGAAGATCTTGTTTTGTATAAGGCTGCACATCTGCTTGGTGCACTGCTGCGTCTATCGTTGACTATAGATTGCTTTCATAGCTCTTAGTCACCGTCATGCATAGTTTTTTTACAGGTCGAAATTACTGTCTCCTATAGAGTTTTGTCCTTTAGGAGAAAATCATTGTTTGCATACCTGTGCTTAAAAAGCTAATTAATTCTTATCTACGGAAATTTTCGCAGGCCATCTGATAGATATGCTTGATTTCAGTTTGCTCGCACGGTGAATGCGAAAACGAGATCCAATCATCAGAAATGCTTCTAAAGGCGTTAACGTTTAGCGTTGAAAACTGTTGGCAACAGACGCTATGAGCACGCAGATTGCTGCCGATATCACATCCCGCCAATTTATAAAGCCTGAATTGCTGCCGCTTGACAACGGTTTTGGATGAAGATGCAAGGCATACAACCTTGTCCTGATATTATTAACTCGATTATTATTATTATTAACTGTATAATATATTAAGACAAATTAGTGAGCAAAGACCAATAACAGCATATATACATACGAAGGTCGTAATATAAAAAAAGCAAGTTAAGACCAATGTTGGCGACAGAGTTTGATAGATGTATGCCATAGTGAGATCTCAGAGTGATTAATATCAGACTAATTGATCAAGAACATTTCACCTTTAGAACTGTAATGCCGTAGCCATGAACTGACTGATCATCTATCTGTTTGAGCGTTTTAGTCTATTCCTGATGATTACTCTAATAGGTCACAGACAACTCTTAGAAGGTCTTTAAAAACCTCTACATCTACCGGCAATAGAATGGTTTTTATTATCGTTATGATATACTATACGCGGTGCGTCGTTTGTACCGGAGATATAGTCTAAAACTAGAATAGTTTTATTCAACATAATTTCAAGTTTATCCTCAGATTTTTGCCAGTTAACTCAGTACACATTAAGCAGACTGGTGTCATGTTTTGCATATCCTATCCTACTAAATC